ACCTATCGTTACAAAATGATTTTTTTTTAAAGTTAGCAGCTGTCAGTTTTGACCTAGTATTCTTTTTGTCAGCGTCATGCCAAATAATATATAAATATATTTTGTTTTTTGAGATGTAAATTATCTTTACCTCCAAATCTGACATTATGATGGAAGCCTCAATCCTATTACTTGGTGTGTAACATATTGGGCAATATATTGCTTCCCCTGGATGGTTCCAGGTTGTTAGGGCAATTATTGCAATTATTAGTCCTTTATTGTGTTGATTTTTGTTTTACAAAGGGACAGCTTAATAAACAGCCAGACTAAATTAATTTTTAAAAGAAAGTTTCACACATGATTTGCTGGAATCTTCTTCTTTGAGAATTCAGATAAAAAGTCAGCAATTTCATGTGATTCCTTCAACTTTGCCTTTTGGTCCCTGAAATAGGTTTACACACAAATGGCCTTACTTTTCATTGCTTTGGCCTGGCCTCCAAAGTGCCTTTGTGCTGTTCGCATGTTCCTTATAAAACAAGCTTCATCTTGCCGTATTCCTAAAGAGAGAAGTAACCTAAAACTAAGGAGGAATTTCCTGACAGTGAGAACAATTAACCAGTGGAACTCCTTGCCTCCAGAAGATGTGGGCGCTCCATCACTGGAGGCTTTCAAGAAGAGACTGGCCAGCCATTTATCTGGAATGGTATAGGGTCTCCTGCTTGAGCAGGAGGGGGTTGGACTAGAAGACCTCCAGGGTCCCTTCCAACTCTGTTGTTCTGTCTTCTGCAAGTATGGTGTTCTGTCTCTGGCCGTGCTAACTTAAAAATAAATGGCATTATTAAGATTAGGCTACAACACAGAATTTTGCCAGAAGCCCCAGAGAAAGTGATTTTTTGGGTGTGTGTGCATTTTATCTTGTACCAGTTGTAGGAAACTAAATGCAAGTTCAGCTTCAAATTCTCATACTTCTTCATGATTTAAAACTGATCGCCATGCTGCCCCTCAAAATTAAGACTTCTCATTGGTGCATAAAGCTTTTCCTTCTCCATCTTGATAATGGTGGGAGAGCCTTTAATTTTGCCAAGGCTTCAGCTAGTTTCAAAAAGAATTCACATCCGTCTCCCAATGTTAAGGGCAGTATGTGCCGTGTGGTCTTCGGAGGACATTCATCAAATTTTCCCCACATTTGCTGGACACCTGAGATCATTTTTTAAAAAATGTTGGATAATAGCTTCTTTATTTTCACTAACAGAGAATCACTCTGAGAGTGAGATGGGCATTGCCTAAATTTGACAAATAAATAAATAAAAATTATGTTGGAAGACTTAACATGAGGGAACAATTACTCAGCTGATATGGCTTTGTCTTGTTATTGTTCTGTTTTTACTGTCCATAAATTTGCTAATATAGTATTATAAAGACAAATATGTCTTAAAATGCGACTATACCCTTAAGGATAATTTCCACATTGTATACAAATATAATGTAGAACTGTATTATAAATAAAATATGTGGATGTATAGATTTATTGAACCAATGGGTGGAGCAGCCAAAATTATTTATTTTCAGAAGCAGAACACGGTCCCAGATTTGCAATCTCAAATCATCAATGTGTGTTTATGAACTGTCTATTGATGATGCTATGAAAAGAGTGGTCAATATTACTCTTTATGATTAAAGTTTAATGATGTTTAAAAGTAGCCTGAACGATTCTCTACATGTAATATATTTTTATTACTTTCTTTTTCTTTTTCTCTGTTTTGCTTTTGTGTATTTTATTTTTATTTTCCTCCGTTTTTCTTTTCTCTATTTTCTGGTGTTTTTTTTTTAAATATTAAAGCAATATAATTTTTTTAAGATGATTTCAAAAAAGGGAGTACACTTAAAACAAATCACGTGCCACTGTAACATTCTTTCTATCTCCCCTCTTAGGCTTTATTTTTTTTACTATTAAAACTTTATTTGAATTGTTTATTCTCATCACATTGCTGGCACTTAGGCCAAGCAGGAATGGGGGAAACTCCCGTTTTGCAGTGTCAGGTAGCAGGAGAATAACAGAAGATGCTCTCCTGAGAAGGCAGAGCGGTGGTTGAACCATCGCTTCCCCCTTGCCTCTTTATGGGACCAGCTTCATTCCAGAATATTGAAAACATTAACTGTAGGTGGATGGAGGCAAACAGGAGCTGCTCAAAGGGGGTGCTCAACTTACAACCACAATTAGGATCAGAATCTGCATTCCCAACCAAGGTCAGCCTTGCCCGATTTTTAGAAACTTTTTGCCACTTAAGCAAATCACTGCAATTGTTAAATGAACCAGGCAGTCCTTCAGGGCTTCCCCCACTGACCGCTTGTTGGGAGCCAGCTGGGAAGGCTGCAGAGGGGGATCACGTGACTCTGGGATGCCGCAGCCGTCATGAAGCATCCAGATTCTGATCATACGCCTGTGGGATCAAATGGATCTAACTTGAGGACAATCTGTATCCGGGTTACACACTTTAGAATCACTTCGGACCGTGCTTTCCTACGCTCCAAGAATGGGCATCCCACAGCAGGGGTCCCCAACCCCGGGCAGTGGCCCCGTGCCGGGCTGGGCCCCTTTTGGAACTGGGCCGCACAAGTGGCAGGTGAGCATGCGTGCGCAGCTCCACTTGAATGAGCGGTGCATGGAAAGCGCCATTTACGCGAGTGGTGGGGGCACCTCCCTGCCACTTGTGTAAATGGAGTTGGCGCATACCTGCCGTTCACCTAGAACCCTCCCCCTCCCCCACCGGTCCATCAAGCCAGGAAGGTTGGGACCGCTGTCTCACAGCCTTAGAGCAGGGCTTTTCAACCTTTTCACCCATTGTACCACTTTTAAGATATGGCGATATCCGAGTATCACCAGTTACCTAGCAAGATGTCAAAAAGTTGATAAAAAAAAAGGAAAAAAGTGATGAAGTACAGGTAGTCCTCAACTTACAACAGTTCGCCTAATGACTGTTTGAAGTTACAATGGCACTGAAAAAAGTGCCCCCCAAGCCACAGCCGAGCAAGACACCTGCTTGTCTACCTGGCGGTGCTCTTCCTCCTGTCCGAGGTTTTCATTGTTGTGAGCATTTCTGTTGAGGATTGGCAGCGGGGGTGGGGTGGGGTGGTGTTTGGTTTTTATTCCCCCCCGTCTGCTGGGTGGTTGCAGCAGGTTTTGGTCACATGACCCTGGGACACTGACCGTCATAACTATGAGTCAGTTGCCAAGCCTCTGAATGTAAATCACAAGACCCTGGAGAGGCTGCAACATTCCAGCTGATCGGCGCTTCTTCTGGGCTCAGCGGAAGTGCCAGGATCAGTGCTGAGCTCCAGCTGGATCCTGGCGCTGATCCTGGTGCTTCCGCTGAGCCCTGACAGCCCCGAAGAAGCGCCGATCAGCTGGAAAGCGGCACTGATCCTGGGGCTTCCGCTGAGCCCTGACAGCCCTGCAGCTCCAGCCGTCTCTCGCTCAGGCTTGTGCAGTGCTGCCACCGGTTCAGCTCATTCCCCTCCCCCGCTACCCCTTTTCTAGGATGGTTGCGTACCACCTGCCAGGTGCCCATGGACCACAGGTGGTACCCCTACCACTGGTTGAGAAGCCCTGCCTTAGAGGACCCGTTTGGCCTTGCCAAGTTCCAGTGGGAAATCATATATCTGTGGTGTTGTGATTTGGGGGTCTTTTGGGAAGCTGCAGAAAGTCATAGAAAACGGTTAATTTAAGCTTCTTAAACTTCTAGAATGTATTTCCCTAAAAAAGTGAAGGTGGGAAAATGGGTCGCGATGTTTGGTCCCACCCTCTGGGTGATGTCAATGCTCTGTCTACATGCAGCCTGCAGAGGATAAAAGTAGCATGAAAAAATGGTGCCCTGTTTTAAAAAATGGCCTTATGGCATTGCCTTAGGAGGGAGAGTCTTCTGCAGGGGGTCTCCCCTTTTCCCCCCTCCCGCCCCCCAGAGGTTTCCGGAATGTTTCCTAATATTTAAACAATTGCCAAGTAAGAAAACAGATAGTCCCTAAACCTCATGTGGAGATCTATTCCCTTGTCTGTCTGTCTATATCAGGGGTGTCAAACACAATTTCATTGAGGGCCGCATCAGCATTGCAGTTGCCCTCAGGGGGGCCGGGTGGGTGTGGCCAGGGTGGGTGTGGCCTACTGGGTGGGCGTGGACAGCTCTACATCGTTCCCGTCAAGGGTGCCTGTGGGGGTCTGGGCAGGAGTGGGACAGATCAGAGGGTCTCTGGCAGAAGGGGGGGGGACCGGGGCAAGTGCCAAGGCATGGTCCACTGGAGGAGCCTCACTGTTCCTCTCAGGCCATGCACGGGGGGGGGGGCTTATGGAGCTAAGACTGAATGCGTTTCAGCATAGATGGCCACCACAAAATTGTACATTGGCTCCCGGCCAGCTGGCCTGGGCCAGGGCCAAGGCAGCAGGGGCCGTTCCCTCACTGTTTCCAGGATGGCTTCGCGGGCCACATGAAACCACTTCGCGGGCCGCATCCGGCCCCCGGACCTTGTGTTTGACATGTCTGGTCTATATCCTGCCTTTTTTATGTTTACAAATAATTCAAGGCACTGAACATATCCTACGTATCTTCCTCCTATTTTTGCTACAGCAACAACGCTGTGAGGTTGGGTAGGACTGAGAGAGAGGGACTGGCCCAAAGTCACCCAGCCGGCTGTCATGCCTAAGGCGGGACTAGAACTCACCGTCTCCTGGCGATTGACCCAAAGTCACCCAACTGGCTTTCATGATTAAGGCAGGACTTGAACTCACAGTCTCCTTTCTAGCCTGATGCCTTAACCACTAACTAGACCAAACTGGCTCTCAAGTCAGTGAATTATAAATAAGGCAGAGATTTTTAGGAGGGCAGGAATCGAACCCGCACCAAGTCAACTCAGGCTGCCCCATTCCTAGAAAGAAGGCTGGGCCTGTGTGAAGCAGTCACGGCAGAGCTGGCGAGAATGGAGAGAAGCATTGATCGGGCGTTGTCTCCTCTTTCTCCTTCCCCGTTTAGGGATGAGAAGAACCAGTCCATTATCGTTAGTGGGGAATCCGGTGCGGGCAAAACTGTCTCGGCCAAATACGCCATGCGGTTCTTCGCATCAGTTGGAGGCTCCTCCAGTGAGTCCAACGTTGAAGAGAAGGTCCTGGCTTCCAGTCCTATCATGGAGGTAAGACCTTTGGCGAGAGAGGGGGGGGAGATTCTTTTAATTGTGTACAATGCAAAGAACATGTGTGTTACAATGGAAACATTTAGGCCTGTTGTTGTTCAGTCGCTGAGTCATGTCCAACTCTTCATGACCCCACGGGCCATCGTATGCCAAGCCCCCCCATCCTCCACGTTCTCCCGGAGTCCTCTCAAGCCCATGTTCATTTATTTATTTATTTATTTATTTATAATTTAATTTATACCCCGCCCTTCTCCTCATGGGACTCAGGGCGGCTAACAGCCTCATAAAAACTACAATACAAATACAATAATTAAAAGCCGAATTAAAAAGAAATATTTAAACAGGCCGATCAATTAAAATTATCCTTAAAAATCCCCTGAAACTTTAAAATCGTTAAAA